TAGATGGGTTTCTTGTATGCAGAATATGGTTGGATTTTGTTTCTCGATCCAATCTGCCAGTCTGTTTCTTTTAATTGGTGTATTGAGACCATTTACATTAACATTTAGAACTGTTATACATTGGTTTATTGTTGACATATTATCTTTCTGCTGTTGCATGTTTATCTATCTGCTCTGTTCAACTGTCTGCTTTGTTTAGTGGTTTTTTTCCTAAATGTATCTAGGCTGTCTTTCAGTACTCTTTGCATGGTTGGCTTGGTGATCATGAAGTTTTTCAGCTGATCTTTGTCATGGAAGTATCTTATTTCTCTATCGAATTTGAAGGACAGTTTTGCAGGGTACATCAGCCTAGGTTGGAAATCATTTTCCTTAGGATCTGAAATACATCACTCCATTCTCTTCTTGACTTTATTGTTTGTGCTGAGAGGTTTGCTGTGATTCTGATAGGTTTTCCTTTATCGGTCATCTGTCTTTTCTCTCTGAAAGCCTTTAATATTCTATTCTTTTGTTCGATTTCTGGGATTGTCATTATTATATGTCTGGGTGTAGATTTATTTTGGTTATGAATATTTGAAGTTCTATATGCTTCATTGATCTTGATATCAGTTTCTAATCTCGTGTTTGGGAAATTTTTAGCTATTACTTCTCTAAATATCCTTTTGACATCCTTTATGTTGTCCCCTTCTTTTTCATTTATCCCTATGAACCTTATGGTGTTCCTCTTTGTGTCGTCCTGTAGGTGTTGAATTGTCATTTCCTGATTTCTTGTTATTTTTAAAAGATCTTTTCTTTCCTGTTCACTGGCTGCAATCTTGTCTTTGAGGTCTGAGATTCTATCTTCACATTCATTGAGGCGGTTTTTACAACTTTCAATAGAGTTTTTGATTTCTTGTATATCTCTTTGTATCTGTTTTATGTATTCTGTTTGTTTCCTTTATTGTTCATCCAGGGATTCCATCCTTTTGTTTAGTTCCTGCAATTTGTTAACTGCATCTTCTTTAGCTATGTTTAGCATCTGCTTCATTTCTTTTATCATTTCTTCTTTTATCTGAGAGATTATTTCTAGTTTGTATTCCTTTAAGGCTTCCCATACTTGCTTCTTAATTTCAGTTACCATTATTTCAGGTATTTCAGTTATGTGGCATGTTTTTTCTTCTATGCACATGGCTCCTAGTCCTTCTTGGGATAGGCTGGATGTTTGAGATTGCATTTTAGTCTTTCGTTTTGTCATTTTCCTGTATTTTGGAGCTTCAAGTGTTGTTCCAGGTGTGGGAGAGAGTTCTGCCAACTTGGGATGGGGTTCCTTCGAAGGCCCCACTCACAGGACCCGACAGGGGACCATGGCCTGTTCCCCAGGCCAGGAAGAGTGTCCCCTCAAGCTGGGAGGGATTCCCAGCCCCCTCTGCTCCTCTCACAGGTCCGGTAGGTCAGGAACTGGACCGGTCCCCAGGTCAGGAAGGAAGTTCTCGCAGGCTGGGCAGAACTCCTAGCCGCCACTGTTACAGTCACTGATCTGGCCTGGTCCCCTGTCCTGTAGGGAACTGGCCTGATCCCCAGTTCAGGGAGAAAGTTCCCGAAGGCTGGGCTGGACTCCCAGCCACTGCTGCTACAGTCACTAATCCGGCCTGGTCCCCAGTCTGGTTGGGAACCGGCCTGGTTCGCAGGCTGGGCTGGACTCCCTGCTGCTGCCGCTATAGTCACTGACCTGGCCTGGTCTCTGGTCTGGTAAGGAACTGGCCTGGTCCCCAGGAGAAACTTGCCTCACCACTTCAAAAGGTTGATGCAGAGAAATGGTTTTCACTTCCATCAAGCTTTCCACTGCAATGAAACTGTCTTTTTCTGGAAGAAAATGCCCAGGAGAACAAACATTACCCAGGAAGAGGAAAATGTGCCATGCCACAGGCCTGTGAATGAGAGGCTAATCTTATTCCTATGTGTCAATGTTCCCATGGTGAAATCAAGATAAAAACTTTCTCTTTTTTTAATCACTCTGTGTCACTAAAAGTGTTCAGAAAACATAAAATCTTGAAGAATAGGCTAGGGGTAATATGAAGATCTAACAGACAATCCTAAGTAACAAGAGTACTTTTACTTGATTGGATCAAGGAGGCTTTCTGTCCTACTGTTAAGAAATAAAAGAAATACCCACACTCCCACCAAAGGTGGAGAAACATTCCATTTTCCACAAAGCCCCAGCCACATTTGTTACTGGTTGATGTCTTGATGGCAACCATTCCTTCTGGAGTGAATTGAATATCAGTGTTGTTTTAATTTGTATTTCTCGAAAGACCAGCAGTGTTGAACAAAATGCTATTGGAATTAAGAAAGTAAGATTACAAGTTTGAGCTCAGCCAGGGCAACTTGGAGAGACTCTCAATATGTACATGAATGAATAAAAATAGAGGGCTAGAGATATCTAGGGGTATAAGTCAATGGAAAGGCCTTGGGTTCAATCTCCAGAAAACAAAATAACACAGTCATTTACAGTAAGCATTATGCTGGAAGCCAGCTTGGTTTAACTGCAGTGTTCTTTCTCTCCTCAAATCTAGCTAGTACTTCTGGTGTTGCTTGGTTGCCTCTGACATACCTTGAAAATCAATCATATACCTTTTACAGAAAACAAGCTTCCTTTAAAACAGTACCACACAAAATTAATATGAACTCATTTATACTGGCAGTTTATTTGCTGCAAAGACACTGTTGTGATCATATAACCAGTTATTCACTAATTTTCTGTAGGGTCCATCAGAAAGAACTGGGCCAAGACTCAAGAGAATTTCCCTTCTGTTCCCACTTATACTACTTTTACTTACTTTACTGTCAAGTCATTTAGTGTCTCTGAATGTGCTGTTTCCTTAATTTTTTTATTTTAAGGAGGATAAAACCAAGATTAATAAAAGCAGAATAAAGGCAATCAAAACAAACCAGTGTAAGTGATGCAGGACTTCAAAACATTATAGAATCAACAATAGTTACCATAATGCCTTTTGATGTCTTGAAAATAATAAAAATCAAACAGAACAAAATAGAATAGAAACAATAAATACAAAACAAAGAATACAATAAAGGACTTCAAAACAAACCAATACTAAATCCAAATTGCTACCTCAATATATCTTCTTATCTTTGAAATAACTGCTCATGCCTTTGGATTTAACATAATCAAGAAAGACAAAAGAGAATAAAACCCAACCCAACAAAACAATGAAAAGTAAACCCTAAGGAATCAGTGATGACTACAATTCTCAGAAAGAGATCCCTCTGCCCCAGATGCCACATTGTGTGCCATTATCTTCTGAACTGATGATCAGACCACTGGCCCTAGAACTACAAGGTCATAGAAACACCGAAGCACCCCAGGCATCCAAATGCATTTCACCTCCATAGCTATCACAGCATGTGTTTCTCCAGATCAGCGAGTCCCTTAATGGGGCGGGGGGGGGGGCTTTTTCTTTGCCAGCCCATGCACCAGAAGGGGCTAGGGTCAATCTGTTCCCAGTCCAGTAGTGGCCTATGCATGACACTGGTTCCCAGATGAGGTTTCCTTCCTGGTGTAGGCCTTATTTTCTCTCTCTCTCTCTCTCTCTCTCTCTCTCTCTCTCTCTGGTCTGCAAATGGCACTGATTGACAGAGAAAGGCTTGGGTCTGGCTGTCACCAGTCTGCAGATGGCTCACACCTCGTTCCCAGACGGGGTGTGTTTCCTGGTGTGGCCTTGTTCTCTGTTTCCTTAATTCTGAGAAGAAATGTCTAGCCAAATTACACTTCACACAGGAAAGTAGATGCAGGGAAGAAATTTTTCTAGTATACAGTCTAGTTTTATTTATTTATTTACCTACTAACTTATGTACTTGCTTATTTTTATATTTACTTGTTTCATTTTATCAGATTTTATTGGTGCATTTTATTTGATCACATTCATCATAGAGATTTTGCACCCATGTGCAAGTTTTCTTTGGTTCATTTTAACAGAGAATGTGAGCTACTGGTCTCTATGATCTCTGAGATTTGCTTTGCATACAGTTTTCCAAATGGGAAAGAAACACCACCACTGAAATGAGGATATTGAACTCCATTTGAAAGTACCAGACACTTAGAAGTAGTCACTAAATAGATGGCTGAAGAGAGTGCTGCTAAATGATAGGGTATCTGTGAGAATTATAATGCCAAAGGTTCAATCTGATTATTTGACTTGGTAGACTTGGGCCTGAGGATAGGATCTTATCAATAAATAAAAATATTTTTGGGACAACACTGCTTTAAGGTATGTAGTCACAATCTCATAGTGACAGTCAAGTGAAGTAACTATTATGTCATAATACTTGTTGGTATGGCAACAGTAATGACCTAACAGCACACAAGAAATGTCTCTTCAATGTCCCTGAACCACTTGCAAAAGGACTTTACCAGCAAGTAGACCTGGAAACCACACATGTCTTATGAGAGTTATCAGATGGTAGAAGGGGCTAAAAAATCACATAACGTGGAATTGTAATTTTGGGGAATGAAAACAATGAATGTTTTTAGGTAAACTTTAAGAAGTTAATGATAAAGCTCTATATGTTTTATTCTGAAGTGTCAATTAATATTATTATGCTGACTTGGGTAATGTAAACTTACAACTTGACTATACTTAGAATTCCTGCCTTATATTTTTAATCTAATTTCTGCCTGGTGCCATATGCTTCTAATTTTATATTTGTTAGAGCAGCAGTTACTTGTGTTTTTCTTAGAAAAGATCTCAGACTTCTGTATTGTCTGGACTTACAATGACAACAATGAAATTTACAGCTTCACTTTACTTTGAATTCTTCTTTTGTATATTTTCTTTTATGCCCAGTGATAGCAAATTTGTGAATTAACTCTCCTGGAGCAAGAAACAGGAACATATTTTCTGAGACAAACTCTTAAATATATATGTTGATACTGGCTCATAATTCCAATATCCAAAAGACCAAATGTTTTATGATATAATCTTCTGTCTTTTTTTATTTATTTGCAGGAAAAGGAGAAGAAACTCCAATGAAGATGATAACCACCATTCTCCACATTCCAAAAGCAGTAAGATTAACCTTGACTTGCAGGAGTCTCAGAATGTAAAGGTAGGAAGTATGATCAGATAGCCTCTCTATTTTATTCATTGCCTACATTAAATCCTTGTATTTGACCTCTGAAATGAGGAGCATTACACCACAAAATCATCACAATAGTATTCTTACTTCATTGTGGTGATTTTTGAACCAGAGATCTTATGCATGATACCAATGTGTTAGGAGAGGAGGGAAAGGAAACCACAAAAATTTGGTCAAACAAACAAAACAGGAGGTTTTTGGACATTTTCCCTTCACAAGTAGAGAGCTGTAATTTAATTCCCCTTATTTTTAGATGGAAAATATATATTGAAGCATGTAATAATATGTTATAGGCTAGAAGACGATTCTTGACTTCTAACTGAAAAAAGTGAAAGTGAAATTGAGGGGCAGTGTCACAATGTTTTGTGAAACTATAGTGGTGTTGAATTGTATATCTTGAATTTTAACTTCAGGAAACACCCCAAATGATTCATTTTCACTAGCATGGTATTGCTTTGCTGAAGGTATAACTTACTATAAGATTACTAGAGGAGCCTTGTAAAGTTGTTCTGGATAAATCTGGCTGGTTAATAAACAATGTTCACCTTTGCTTTCATGAGCAGCAGGCAAAAGAATTGTCAATTCACGTTGTCTTGCTAGAATCTGTAGAAAGGTAATTATAATTATAGAATCTAGACAGCTCCTTGGGTGGGTGAAAGGGATAAAATTTCCAAAGATGATACAATCTGTGGTGTATGCATTTTAAGAAACTTTGTATACAGAGCATATACACCATCCTAAGCAGTTTGAAACTGCAACAGAATATTGCGGTCCTGCTGATTTATTGAAGATAAAAATGTCCACCTGTGCAGGTGATGATAACCTGTCAATCTTTCTTGTTTGTTTCCTCGTTCAAATTCCATTTACTGAGTTCAAACAAGGTGAGGTTGTGTATACTTAGACACTTACATAAGTTCTATCATCGATTGAATATTTTTTAGCTAGAAAACAACTTAGAACTGAATCTCTGGTCCAATTTCATGCTATGAAGGACACCAAGACACAAAAAGCATAGAATAGTTATGTCATCAATGCAGACAGGTTAATGCATTAACATCATTGCCTTGTTGATGGGGAAACTGTAATCAACAGCCAGATTAATTTGATATCATGCAGTTCATAAAATTCCTCATTGCTTCAGTGGTATGAGGGAACATGGGCATGTCAGTTTAAACATGTGGTACTGGGGCTGGAGGTTTAGTTCAGCGGCATAAGCACCTCCCTTGCAAGCAGGCAGTCGTGAGTTCAATCCCTGGTACCAATAAAAAGGAAAAAGACAAAAAAAATCTGGTACTACTGGTAACACATACTTGAAGGGCTCTGATGAGCTTGCTAAGGATGATAGCCTTCAGTTAACCTAGTTTCTGCAGGTGCCTTTGAATAAACATGGTTATTACAATTCCAGGATTGCAGTGTGCATTAGGGAAGAACTTTCATTTTCTGTTGTAGTTCACATAAATGAGAAGCTCTGAGAGATGGTGGGGGGAGGATGGAGCTGAGAGGAAAGGTAGGGTTTGAGAAAAAGTAACATCCAGTATTTCCCAGCTTACAAAATAAAAGCATTACATAATTGTGTGTTGCAAATAAATACATGAATTATCATTCTGATTTTATGGAAATATTTCATAATTAATATTATTCCTCATCGATCCAGCTTATATTTATCCACTGCTTGTTTCACTAACCTGAAAAGGTGCACTTTACACTTAAACTAATCTCATGCTTTTATTTTTCTCTTGAGTATGGTGTCTTTTCTTTTACCTTTAGTTTAAAGCTGTGATATGCATTCACTGCCTATTATTTCTCACTTCTCTTCATGAAACCACTAACTAAACCTTAGCTCCTCCAAATTTCCTTCTATCCGTCTATAATAACATGTCAGGGAACAGTGGAGAGCTGTTAAATCCAATAACCTGCCAGCTATTTACCTAGCACCTACCAGTTGGCAAGCATGGTTCTTAGTGATTGGAATAAATTTAAAGTTGCCTCTTATTTGCCCAAGACCCCTTTGTGTTCTACCACTATATGCATCATTACATTTCCAGTATCCCCATTCAAGTCTGTGTTGTCTCTTGCTTGATGCTTTGCAAGATTTCTTGAGGGTTCTCTGTACTCTCACTGCCTTCTATCTAACCATCCATCAGAGACATCTTCCAAAATATAGACCTGAGCATTGTTCATTAACCTCAAGTCTCAATCCTTACAGAACTCTTGGCATGATATTTAAGGCTGCTGATGATCTTCACTTGTGCATTTTTTTTCTCCCAGTAACTTTTCTCTGGGAGACACCAGGCACATCCTATTACTTGCATTTGCCTCCTCCAAAATTCTTCTTTGCCATTCAAATGCTCTTGTTGTTCTCCACATTTACTGTACTCTCCCATGAATGTCTGCTGCATCCTACAAGGCCCACTTATGTGTCTTTCACTTTAATGAATCTCCTGATTTCCTCAGTGGGCATTTCATTGCTACATTTCGCTCATTGAAAGACCTGGATGTTGTCATTCTGAAGGCTTGACTAGGCTCAGGAATTACCCACTGAATGCCAATGTGGCCCTGCCAAAGCGCCTCCATGTACACAGTAGATAAACATGTATCTGTTTGGACATGGTTGGGAAGCATAACAACCCATACTTATGTAAAAGCCTCTCAGATGTGGGTGCCTGGCAGGTGTCTGTGAGTTAAACTGACAAAGAGCCCCACTGATGATTCTGCTACTCATTCCCAAATTGAGTGAGTCATGGTGTATGTCTTCTGGTCTCAACCCTTCTTTGTTTATGGGGTAAAGATGCAGATTTTGCAATAGCGAGAACTAACTTATAATCTTGCCTTTGCCCACAAGCTTGTTCCCTCATCTCTCTATGAAATGTCTTCATGAGCTTTGCATCATAAGAGATCCTCTTTCAGAGTCATCATAAATGTAATTTTGTTTTGCTGCATACATGAATTTGCAAAGGCTTCTGTACTGTATTAGCACGAGTGCTATACTGAAAATTGGGAGACTAGTGAGCTTTGTAATGGTCCATCAAGGTAAATATTCTGATGCTATGACTTTTTGAGCAATCAGGAAAATGGTGAGCATGATTTATATTTTATGAGCCTTCCTCTCAATCTTGAAGCATTTTGAAGTCTCTGGAAAAGAATCTGTTCTTTTTCTGAAGCCAAGTGTAGTAAGGTAAATGCTCCTCTATGTAGATGCCAGTCTCAACTCTCAGGACAATCTACTATCCAAGAAAAGGCTTTTCCTCCCAATGGCTCTGTCAGTACAACAGTTCACTAAGTGGGATACTTCTCATGAAATGCACTCACAAACACAAAGTTTAACAAAGATCAGGGTGTACAGTGTTAAATAAAGAGCATTATTGGCCTAGAAAATACTACCATGTGTGAGTTTTTATATATTCTTTACTGGATTAAAGAAGGCTAAACACTTCCTCAAACCTCATTATGTCATAACAGCTCATTTAAAGTCTTCCTTTTGACGTGAGTAGTAAGTAAAACCAAAAGAAGACTTTTTTCCATCGTCTTGTAGCATTCGGTACCTTACTTTTCTACACATAAAACTTTTATGTTTCACAAAATAATGCATCTTCTATAACTGCATTAGAAAAGATATCTCCAAAGTAAAATGTCTCAAACTAAACATGCATGCCATGTGCATGCGTGCACATGCATGTACACACACACACACACACACACACATATTTACAACTGATTATTGGTGCTGGCATTCATCCCTTAAGGGAATGTTTTAAAGTCCCTTGAAAATAGTTTGGTGGTTTAGCTCAGTATTGCAAGTGCCTGCTTGTGTAAACACATAGTCATGAGTTCAATCCCCAGTATCAAAAAAATAAAAATAAAAATTCTTTGAAAACATTACATATCAATGTGCAACTGTCTCTTTTTTATTATTTAAAAAGAATGAAACAACAAAACACATGAAGAAAAAAGGATAGAAATAACACAGAATTACAGAAAAATATATTTAATAGTAAGAAATCACTAGTTGATAAGTTACATATTGTCATCTTAGAAATAGTTATTCAGCTCAGAAATTAAAGCCTGTAAAGTGACATTCAAATAGTGACACTGCCAAAAGTTCTGCTCAATGATCCAACAAAAACTTAGTAATATGGTTAACAGTCTTACACACTTGTTTCTTATCTTAAAGGGGTACGATTAAACATATCAAAACAGAACAAAACAGTTCATAAAGAAACAAATGCAGAAATACAGATATCAAAGCATGTCCACTGGAGATCTTCACTGTCTATATTGTTGTCTCTAGCTTCTTCCAAATAGTTGTCCCCATATTCGCACATATTGAATACCTACTGCATATTATAGAACTAATCAAATCGTTACAGGATGATGACGGCTTTTTAGGTCTTCAAGATCTGACATTGGGGAAGTCAATAATGACTACCATAATGTCTCTCATTCTCTTCGTAGTAACTGTCCTTATCTTTACATATGCTGAAATTGAACTTAAGAGACTAGACTAATATCACTCTGAACAGTGAATAATACTATTGACAGATTTTATATCATACTGTTACAGAATTAGCATTGGGTTTCTTAGTGTCTCTTCTTCAGAGTATCTGTTCATTACATCTTGCATTATATGATCTGTTCCTGTAAATAGTTTAAAAATTCTTCCCAGGTGTGAATTTCTACATGTATGTCTATCCTGTCTGTATTATAGGGAAAAGCAGTTCATAACAAGACAACTAAAACATTCCTAGAAAAACATGTAATGAAAAGGCACATAAGACCACAATATTAGGTGATCTACCATAGTAACTATGCTTTGTCTTGTTATTTTCAACAGACTTGTCCTCATCATCAGGCTTAATATAGTGAAGCATAGCTATTTTTATAAAAAACACAACTTTGAAAACATTGTACGACTTGAGAGTGGTTAATAATCAAAACCGGTATGGATATCTTTTACATCTTGTCATCTTCAG